CGGTTCCTCGTCCCCGTCTTGGGCGCCGCTTTGGGGCGTTCTTGGGCGGGTTGGGCGTCTCGGGGGCCGTCTTGGCCCCCTCGTGGGCCGTCTTGGGGCCCTCTTGAGGGCATCCTCGACCGGCTCGGGTGCCTCTTGGGCCGTCTTGGACGCAGTGGTCCTAAAAGGCGAAGACGCCAAAAATAGCAGTTGTCCGATGGGAAACCGACGATTTTCGCATATTGGGGCTCTCGGGGTGCCTCTTGGGGCGTCTTCGGGGCCTTCGGGGGCCTTCTTGGCGTCATAGGAGTCGTCTTGAAAGGCATCCGGAGCCATCGGAGCGCGTTTTCGAGCGTTCTGAGGCCATCTTCGAGCGATCTTGGACGGCCCCCGGCGCTCCGGCAGGGCTCCTGGCGCGGGGCCCCACGTTTGCGGTCGGGGTCCCGGCCCCTGGCCCCCGGACCCAGTCCCCCGTTGTTTCTGGAATCGCTCGGACGTGTGATTTTTGTTCGGCGGGGATTATCAAGGAGCATCCTGGATCATCCTTCGAAAAACCCACGCACGAAACCGAAAAAAGCACAGGGACTGGACGTCCGAGCGACTGGGAGTATGTGTATCATCGGCCGGGGGCGGCCTCGAGGGGGGTGATGACTGGGGGGGCGGGGTGGATGTCATGGCGTGGGCCATGATATTTCCCCAGATCTCATGGCGCCTCTTCTTATCGAATCGCTTCGCTCATTCCGCCGGTCCATGATTGCGTGCCGTTGTAGACTGCCCGAGTGGTCTTTCGCGGTGCGGAGCTGCAGGGGCGTCGGCTGTTTTTATCAGGCTCTGCGTTCGGCATGTGAGGCTTATTGGTGGCCGCTGGGGGGGGAGTCTTGAACGCGTCGCGGGCCGTCTGGAAGCGTTCTGCCTACGGGGACTCTTTCGGGAGGCCTCTTGGTGGCCTCGTGGGGACTCTTAAACTCGTCAGGTCGTTTGCACTTGCTTGCGTGCTCGGGGGGGCATTTGGGGGGCCTCCTGGGGCCGCTTGGGGGCCTCTTGGAGGCCTTCTGAGGGCCTGTTGGGGGCCTCTTGGGGCCTCTTAGGGGCCTATTGGGGATTCCTGGAGCCTTCTTAGGGCCGAGAGCTCGAAATGTTGATTCGTGCTCCTCCCGTGGGACCTTTCTTGGGGCGTTCTTGGTGCCTCTTGGGGCGTCTTGGAGGCCTCTTGGGCCGTCTTGGAGCCCTGTTGGGCCGTCTTAGGGCCCTCTTGGGGGCTTCTTGAGCCCTCTGGGGGCGGTCTTGGGGGCCTCTTGGGCCGTCTTGGGGTGTGGGGAAGCCGAAAAGGTGGAAACGCCAACATCTCTCCCAAACTGGCGGAAAAATCCGGATTCTTGCCTCTTGGGGCCCTCCTGGGGCCGCTTGGGGGCCTCTTGGGGCCTCCTGAGGGCCTGTTGGGGGCCTCTTGGGGTCTTATGGGCCTCTTGGGGGCTCCTGGGGCCTTCTTATGGCCGATAGCTTGGAGTGTTGATTCGTGTTCCCCCTCTGGGACCTCTTGGGGCATGGGCCTTCTTGAGCCGTCTTGGAAGCCTCTTGGGTCGTGTCGGATCCCTCTTGGGCCGTCTTGGAGCCTTCTTGGGGGCTTTTTGGGCCCTTTTGGGGCGGTCTTGGGGGCCTCTTGGGCCGTCTTGGGGTGTGGGGAAGCCGAAAAGGTGGAAACGCCAATTGGGGCCCTCTTGAGAGTGCTCTGGGAGGCGTGTTAGGCCGTCTGGGGGGCACCTTGTGCGTCGTGGAGTGATCTTTGGTATCTCGGAGCTCTCTTGTATCATCTTGAGGGGCTCGTGGCATCTTGGCCTTTCTTCGGGCTCTCTGGACGGCCTCGAGGGCGGCGCCCATGAGGAAAGCCATCTCTGATCCGCAGCGCCCGGGCTTCGCCCGGGGTACTTTTCTTCTGGGGACCTGCAGGGGCCGCCCCGCGCGCGCTGAGTAGAATTACTGTAAAGCAGTTACCGGAGATCTTAGCACGCCTCTGGCCCGTTGGGCCGGCGAATTTCAATACGTCCCCGGCCCCCCCCCTGGGCCGCGCACATGCCGCTGGCCATGATTTGCGCCCCCCCTCTTGGACGCCACCCTCTTGGCCGCCCCCGAGCAAACTGGAATCAGCGAGCCCACTCCGGCTAACGGACGGGGGCACTTGTCCGTGTGAGGACGGCTCCAGATCTTGGGTTCCTCGGTCTGTGCTCGGCGCGAGCGCCTCTTTCTGGTCGGCTCTTCACCACCAGCAGCTGTCAGCAAACTTAAGGCCGACGGCCTTTCGGCGAGCTGTTGCGGCAATGTTCGGCCCGCCGACGCGGCGTTCCATGCCATGGGGTCGAGCGAGCGAGCTCGTCGCAGCCTTCCGGGCTGATCGCGTGGAGAACTCCCGGGTCGCACGTCCTTCAGAATCGGGCGAAGAGAACTATGCACTTGCACCGATCCTTGCAAGGCCCATCCTTGACCCAGGATCGGTGCATATGCCTTCCTGGCCAAGGTAGGAGGGCGTATGCACCGATCCTGGGCTCAGGATGGGTCTGGCCAGAATCGGTGTATGTGCATAGTTCTCTTTCCTCTACAGAAGTCAGCTGGGATTCCCAAGTGCGCCCTCGAGGGCGCGAAGTTATTCGCGCTTCGCGCTTCGCGGTTCGGCTCCGATTCCTCCTCATCCTCCTTTTCTCCCCTGGGAGGCGGCGCGAGAGCGCGAAGTTATTCGCACTTCGCGCAGCGCGAAGCGCGAAGTTGGGATCCTTTGGAGTCCTGGTTTGCAAGTGAATCATTACGTTGGTAGCCATTTCCAATTGCGGATCATAGTGTGACGATTTGTTTCCACCCTCGCCTTCCGGTTTCAGGTGGCGTGAACGTGTTCCGGCCTGAGCCGAATCGTGTCGAGTTCTTCGTCCGACGCTTTCTATTCTACCTCTTGGTCTCGCGCGACTGGTGGCCGCTGTCGGCGGTGTTGGACACTAACTATGATAAGGTGGCGTCCACAGCGCAAGTGTCACTTGCGGCGCGACGACCCCCAGTACAACGAACTTCTACAACCGCGTGAATCTTCTTTGCGTTGGCGCCACGTGATTTTTCAGCTCTTACTGATACGATGTGACTCATGAGTCGCGCAGTTATATCCCCGCTCGGGACGTGGCGACGGCATGTTCGTCCATCTTCGTCCTTCACAGCGCTCCTCGTTCCTTGTCAATGCGCAACCCAAGAGGGCTCGATCGTTGTTGCGGCCCTATCTTCCAGGTCAGGCACTTGCTTCTCGGAGGCTTCGCGCTCGTGCACAGATCTGTGGCAATATTGTAGCCACCTCTCACGGCGTGTGCCGTCGATGGGCGCTGACATGATCGGATATCGAGGTTCATAATTCCTCGATTGGGGAGAGTGTGCGTGGCGGCTCCTTGGCGAGATGCAGGCCATCAACCGAGCGATTGACATGAAGTTCGTTGCGTCGCGCTTGGCCGGCAGGGCTTCGCTGCAAGCGGAAACTACCCTCCCATGCCAGTCAGACTTTACAGGGGCCCGTTGGGCTGGGCCCGGGGCCTGCGCGTTTGCTGCTTGCGCGTAGTAAATGCTGCCGTCTCTGCCGCCAATGCCTTATTGGGTCTTTGCGTTCAGAGTCTGCCGGGCGCGAGAGTGAGATTGAATGATATCGTTCGTGAGATCTACCGAGTGGGATCGACAGCGTTCGATCGACAGTGAGACCGATAGTTAGAGTGATTGTGAGATCGATAGTGAGACTGTTCGAGTAAGATCGACAGTGAGATCGATAGTGAGACCGCTATTAGTGAGAGAGCGATCGTTTGAGATGTTGTCCGTTCCCCCCCCGAACCTCCTAATTGCTCGAAGGGTGGTTATATAGGTATCTCATAGAAGCTCAGGATTTCGGGGGGGGGGTCTGGAACGGAGTCGGATCCGGTCGAGGAGTTGTAGATTGGGACCTCCCAGGGGTCCCAAGAACACAGCTCCCAGGAACTCGTGAGGTCGGCGGGGGGCGCTGGACCGGGTCGGACGCAGGCGCGGAATTGAAGGGTGGGGGGTCCCCAAGAGCACAGGTCCAAAGGGACTCGGGACATCGGCGGGTCGGTCTGGAAAGGGGTCATATCCAGGCGAGAATTGTCGGCTGGAGTGTCTGTGAGGGGGTGCGGTCGCATCGGTCAGCGAGCAGTGGCAGGGTAGAGCGACCTCGAAGTAGGGAGGATGTCGCGTATGCCTCGGGGATCGGCGGGTTCTCAACGAGATTCGGTTTTTTCAAGGGTGGCGGAAAGCGCGTGGAGCGTGCGATCCTTCCTTAGTATGTGCGTGTGCGTGTGTGAGTGTGTGTGTTGTGTGTTGTGTATTGTGTGTGTGTTGTGTTGTGTGTTGTGTGTTGTGTGTTGTGTGTTGTGTGTGTGTGTGTGTGTGTGCAGGGCTGGCGCAAGCCTAGGTGCAGCATGCCCTTCATTGGCCAAGTTGGAAGACTTCACGATCCAGAAGACACCGAATATTGCTTTGGAGGGCCCGGGATATTCCCGACGACCCAGCGCGATCACAATTGCCCCCAAGTTGCGCCAAGGTGGCTCCAAGAGGCTCTAAGATGAGTCCCCATCCCCCTCCTCTCGTCCCCCCTTCCCCCCCTTGCCTTCCCCCTTCTCCCCCCCTCCCCCCCTCCTCGAGAGGCCAAACCGATCAGCATCTCCAGGCTGGGTTTTCATCTGGATGGGCGTTCCCACTGTCAGGTCCATGCAGATTACCCCCAGAAGGAACTCGGGGGCGTTCCGGGAGTCCAGGAGGGCCCAGGAGGGCCCAGGCTGGCCCAGTAGGGCCTCCTCTGCAGCCCCGAGACCATTGCCAAGCCGCCCAACGCCGCCCCGAGGTCCCAAACCCCGCACGTCCCGGGCGGTCCCCGCGCGCGCGGGGCCAGAGCCCGCGAGGCCGTCACTGGGAGCCCAAGGCGGCCCCACAGGCAGCCCCGGGAGGGCCTCGGGGCCCCGAGGGCGCCCAGGGAAGCCCCAGGATGACCACAAGGGGGCCACGGGAGGGGCCAGTGCAGGACGAGCCGGCGATCCCGCGCCCTCCCAACGGGGAGGGCGCGCTCTGCCCTTGTCGCGCAGCAGTCGCGACGATTTCGCGCCCCGCCACATCGGGCGACGGAATCTGTGCGTATCCACTGCCCCCTGGCCAGGCCCTTCCTGGGCCCAGGGGCTGTGCATACGCCCTTCTGGCCCTCCTGGACAGGCCAGGAGGGCGTGGAGTGTATACACCGCTACTGAGCTCAGGATGGAGCTGCTTAGGGACCCGTGGCCACTTTGGCTCACGCCTGGTTTTTGTTCGTTCGTTGCGTCAGACTGCACCCGTGGACAGCATTCGGGAGATATTGCAAGGTCATGTCCCGGAAATTCCCGACGACGGAAGCTTTCCTCAAGGATGGCAAGATCGACCCCAAAGTGCAGGATGCTCTGTTGTCCGATCCGAAGGTGCAGGAGGCGATGAAGAAGTCTGGCGAGCAGGCCCTCAGCAACCCCGCGGTCCAGGACGCCATCTTCAAGGCGGCGAAAGACAATCTGACGGCTGAGAACGCGCAGAAGGTCGCCAACGCAGCCAAGGAGTGGGCGCAGGATCCAGAAGTCCAGGCGAAGGCGAGGCACTACGCGGGCATGGCCATGGCGTATGCCGGCCAGGCCGGGCAGAGCATCATTGGCTGCATTGAACAGGGGCCTGACGGCCTCCGATGGTTGTGTTTTTTGTTGGCTGTCTTGACCGTGGGGTGGGCAGGTTATGACGTGTTCACAAAGGTCCTCAGCTTCCAGTGGTTGTTCATTCCAATGAGCCTTTTCCAAATGTTTTTCGCCTTTACGAGTGCTCTTTTCGAGGCCAAACCAGAGCACGTCGTGAAGTTCGGCATGACCAAATATCAAGACATGCTGCTGGAGTATGCCAAGTTCATTTCCACTACGCTGGGCCGCGGAGTCTTTTACATCTACCAGGGAATGCTGTGGTTCATCGTGGTCGGCGCCCACGATATCGCAAAGTGGTTCAACCTCTTCAACTTGGTCTCTTTGGCCTTGGGAGCGTCCTTCATCGTGATGGGCGGGTTACACATCGCCATGCACTACGGCATCATGCCGCAGGAGGTCGTGGTCAAGGCCAAGGTGGCGGCTGCGAAGGCAACAGGAGCTGGCTACCAGAAGGTCGACGCTGCTGAACCCTGAGGAGCCCTCGCGACGGCCAGCCACGGAGCAGAGGCCTGTACCATATCGCAGGGAGCCCGCGTGCGAGTGCGCCACAGGAGGGCGAGACGGAGAGTGAGAAGAGTGGTGTTGATGGGGAGGGGGAGGAAGGATGCACGAGCTTGGACGAGGCGGCCGAATGCCACCGCGCGCCCGCGTGCTCGTGTCGCGGGGCGGCTGCTGTCAGTGCACAGCCCTCCCCTCGCTTCGGGCCAGCGCGGTGCCACCCGCGGCCGACTGGACCTGGCCACGCCTGGCCTTCTCCCCGCGCCCTGCTGCACGGTGGGTTCGTGTCGTGTCGACCGGCGGCGACCCCGCCAGCGGCCTTCAACGTTGAACGCCGCGTGCGACCCAGAATCGTTCGATGTAGAGCGATTTGGACGTTGCGGAAACGGCATCGTTCAAGGCTGAACGATCCCCGCGGTGTCAGAAACCAACGCAGAAGTCGGCACGACACGAACCTGGCGTAGCAGTCAGGACCGCCGGCTCGCGGGCACCAGGCGGTAGCGACTTCTGGTATTGGGCAGTCGACCTGCGGGGCTCAGGCAAGACAAGTTGAGAGGTGATCAGTTTCTGATTCGTTGTTTTGCCGATCGGCGCGGGCCCTCGCCCCCCTTCCCCTCTACCCCCATGGAGTAGGTCTTGGCTGTGCCTGGCGCCTGTTTCGAGCAGGCGGGGTCTCCCCCATCATTTACGCACTGCTGCAAGCAGCGGCATGACGCAGAGGTCTGGAGCCAGACACTCCCCCCGTCACCCTCCCCCCCCTTCCGCCCAATGCCAAAACGCCGAGTCAGAACACGCCCACGAGTGCGGGGCGAGTGCGGGGAGGAGACGCAGGGCGTCAGCCCGCACCGCCCGCCCCGGCCGTCGGGAAGAGGCGGGGGCGGCAAAGCCCACCCGTGGGCGCCGTGGCGCGCCGTAAGCGCGCGCTGCTCGCGGCGCGACAGAAAAGAAAAGAACGAATCAGGGGTGGACAGACCTCCCTCCTACCCTGACACGTCGATTAAGGAATTGGCCGTTTTCGGTTCGCGAGAGGGCGTCGCGTTGTCATTTTTGCGGGTCCAGGTCCGTCGGTTTCGGTCCCAGGCTGTTTCCACTAAAGGGAGGTTTACTAAAGGGAGGTTTGTCCAACGCAGCAAAAAAAAATGGGCCTGGCCAGGGAGCCGTGGATATGTACTCTGCATGGGTAAGTACGCCAGAGAAAGACCCCAATCAGTTGATGGTTTTCGCTGAGGAGATCGACGGGGAACCTGGGATCCCGGGAACCCAGAACCCACCGAAATCGGCCCGGAACCAATAACGGGGAACCCGGGAACCGGGAACCGGGAACCCGGGAACCCAGCCTGCTACCAAAATCGGCGGGATTTTTTCGCCAAATCTTTCAACTTCCGCTAGGACCCCTTCAGTGCAAGTACTGATCGGGGAATAAGCGTGGGGGGATACCCCCCCGACGGGGGTCAACCTCGCCTCGTCGTGGCGCCGCGTCAGGGGTCGGAGCGCCTTCGGCGCGCGGTGGCTGCTCGCGACGGGGGTCGATGCGGAGCTGTCGGCGGGCGGGGGTGAAGCCCCCCCGACGCTGAGAAACTTGGGGTATCTAGTGGCTTCGGCCCATCCCGCCGTCGTGCCTGGATTGTGGGTTAGAGGCCTCGTGGATGTTCGTTGGGGTATCGTGGCGGGCCTCTTAGAGGCAGTCGTGAAGCCTCCTGAGGGCTGTTTGGGGGCCTCTGGGGTCCTCCTTTTGGCCCTCTTGGGGGCCTTGTGGGGCCTGTTGGGGGCCACTTTGGGGCCTCTTGGACGCCTCTTGGGGCTTCTTGGATGCCTTTTGGGGCCTCCTGGGGGCTTCTTGGGACAGAAGGCTCGAATGGTCGGTTTGTGGCTCCTCTTCGTGTTCCCCTCTTGGGCCCCTCTTCGGGCAGTCTTGGGGCTCGCTTGGGCCGTCTTGGACGCCTCTTGGGCCGTTTTGGGGCCCTCTTGGGCCGTGTTGGGGCCCTTTTTGGGCAGTCTTGGGGCGGTCTCGGGGGCCTCTGGGGTTGGAGCGTCGGTAGAGCGAAAACGCGAGAACGCGAAACACATTGAAAAACACAAGGTTGATGAGTGAATTTTGCATCTTGGGGACCTTGTGGAGGTCCTCTTGGAGCGCTCTTGGGGCTTCTGTGGGCCTCTTGGACGGTGGTGCGGCCATCTGGGCGTCTTGGAGCGCTCTTTGGCCGTCTTGGAGGCACTTCTTAGGGCCCTCTTGGCCCGTTTTGGGGCACTCGAGTGAAGAAAACATGAGCAGCGAGTACGCATGCTCTGAGTCAAATCAGCAGGGTGGAGCTTTGCTAATAAGAGGAGGAGCAGTGAACGCGCACATGCTCTGAGGCCACTCAGCAGAGCGACGCTCTGCTGATCAGAGCCCGATCAGGATGGGGACCCCTGCTTTGAGGCCACTTAGCAGAGAAGCGCTCTGCTAATGAGGGGGAGAGCAGCGAGTGCGCATGCCTGGAGGCAAAATTAGCAGAGCGCCGCTCTGCTGATTGGAGCCCGAACAGTCTGGGAATGCATGGTCGAGGCCCCTTATTAGAATTCAGGGTTCAGGACAGAGAGCACAGGAGAGCCTGAGGGTACCTCTGCTTCGTGCCTCAAGGCACGGTGGTGGATGGATTTTGTCGGCCCTCCAAACTCCGTGTCGGCTGCGCCAGAAAGCCGCTCAGAGGCGCCCGTTGGCGCCCGAAGAAACATCGTGGCGCTCATGAGCACTCGCGGTGCTGACAGGGTCCGGTATGCTGGCGCGCGTATGTGTGGCGTTTGAAGGTTATTTAATCGCTTCGCTCATTCCGCCGGCCCATACAGTCTCATGTCTGCCGTTTGCCCGAGGGCCTGGTGTCAATGCGGCGCTTTGGGGGTTCCTGGGGCCGCTTGGGGGACTCCTGGGGCGCTCGGGGGGGCATTTGGGGGGCCTCCTGGGGCCGCTTGGGGGACTCTTGGGGGCCTCCTGAGGGCCTCGTGGGGGCCTCTTGGGGCCTCTTAGGGGCCTCTTGGGGCCTCGTAGGGGCTTCTTAGGGCCGAGGGCTCGAAATGTTGTTTCGTGTTCCCTCTCTGGGGCCCCTTTGGGGGCGTTCTTGGGGCCCTCTTGGACCGTCTTGGAGGCTTCTTGGGCCGTCTTCGAGCCCTCTTGGGCCATCTTGGGGCCCTCTTGGGGGCCTCTTGGGCCCTCTTGGGGCGATCTTGGGGGCCTCTTGGGCCGTCTTGGGGCGTCGGGAAGCCGAAAAGGTGGAAGCTCCAAAATCTTTCAAAAACCTAAGGAAAAACAATGAATTTTGCCTCCGGGGGCCCTCTTGGGAGTGCTCTTGGAGGCCTCTTGGGGCGTCTGGGGGCTATCTTGGGCGTCTTGGAGCGATCTTGTGGCATGTCGGACCCCTCGTGTACCATCTTGGGGGCCTCTTGGGGGCCTCTTGGCCTTTCTTGGGGCTCTCGGGGACGTCTCGGAGCCCTGTTGGTGCGCTCATGGAGCGCTCCTGGAGCTCTCTGGGGGACTCCTCCCGGGACTCTCTCAGGACCTTGCCGGGGTACTTTCCGCCCGGGGACCCCCAGGGGCCGCCCCGCGCGCGCGAACTAGAGAATTGTTAACCAGTTACCGGAGATCTTAGCACGCCTCTGGCCCGTTGGGCCGGCGAATTGTGATACGCGCTACCGTGCATAGTGTCCTGCTCGCAGGCATCACGTGGGCGACCCCAAAAAGTGGGGGCGAATGCGCCGACATTCGCGCGTAAGCTGTCCGCGTAAGATGGCGCGCGAGCGCCCCCGTTTTGAATGTGGCGTGCCGTGCCCGCGGCTCGTGTCAGCTGCGGCGTAAGGTCGCTGTGCCATCTCGCGTAGGACCCGTTCCTTGTCGCCGCTCACGCGGTATTGCCCATGGCGCCAACATCGCAGACTGGATTTCGTTCGGAAAACGAAAGGATGGGCCCGGAGTGGCCTGGAGAAGTATGTCCCGGATTTCGAGGCGAATAGTGTGGATTGTTTCGGCCAGGGACGACGACTAACCTCAGCCTGGCGAAGGACCCAACCATATGCAGTTGTGAATACCGCAAGTATAAATATCGTTTTCGCCCGCGTTCTCGACGGGGCCACGAACCGTGTGAAGGGCGTGCCGACATGCGTGGCGGGCACACAACGCGAGCGAAGACGATAGGTCTGTGTGCGAGAGACTGAGAGCGCGTGAGTCTGATTGTGGATGAGTCTGCGCGCGCGAATCTACGTGCATGAATGTCGATGACCATGTCGGCGCGCCTCTCACGAGGATCGCGCCCGCTTCCTTTTCGTTCTTCTTTTCCCTCTTTGCCCGTGCACGCCCACGTCCAAGGCTGCGGGCGCGGCGCCGCACGGAGTCCCCGCGGCGCGCGCTGGTCGCCCCGAAGGGGTCCCGGCGACGCGTTCGGGTCGTCCTTTGCGCGGAGCAGAGCGAGCGAGCAGGCTGGTTCCCGCCCGGGATGCGCGGCCCGAAAATGGCCTCAACACGTCGAGTACGATGAAAAATCTCCAGGAACCGAAAGTCGCCGCCATGCGAACTCTGCCACTGGGCCGCCATGCGAGTTCCGCCACAGAGACATTAGGTGGAGCTCCCAATGGGGCCACGAAGCGTTTGAGGGGTGTAACAACATGGGGCTGCGACGTTGGGACATTAGATGGATCTCCCTATGGGGTCACAGCGCGTGTGAGGGGTGTGTCAGAAAGGAGCGGCGCCGCCATGAGGGCTGCGCCACTGGGACCCTACATGGAGCTTCCTATGTGGCCACGAAGCGTGTGAAAAGGGTGTGCCAGAATGGGGCGGCGGCGCCATGCGGGCTGCGCCACCGGGACCTGAGGTGGAGCTCCCTGTGGGGCCACGAAACGTATGGTGTGTGTGTGTGTGTGTGTGCTAAAATGGGGCGGCGGCGCCATGCAGGCTGCGCCACTGGGGCCGTATGTGGAGCTCCTTATGGGGCCACGAAGCGTGTGAGGGGTGTGCCACAATGGGGCGGCACCGCCATGCGGGCTGCGCCATTGGGACCTTAGGTGGAGCTTTCCATGGGGCCACGAAACGCGTGAATGGGGCGGTGCCGCCATGTGGTCTGCGCCACTGCGACCGTAGATGGAGTTCCCTATGGGGCCCCGAAGCGTGTCAGGGGTGTGCCAAAATGGGGCGCCGCCGCCATGCGGGCTGCACCACTGGGACCCGAGGTGGAGTTCCCTATGGGGCCACGAAACGTACGGTGTGTGTGTGCGGAAATGAGGCGGCGGCGCCATGCGGGCTGCGCCAATGGGACCGTAGGTGGAGCTCCCTATGGGGCCACGAAGCGTGTGTGTGTGTGTGTGTGTGTGTGTGTGTGTGTGTGTGTGTGCGTGGTGTGTGTGTGTGTGTGTGTGTGTGTGTGTGTGTGTGTGTGTGTGTGTGTGTGTGTTTGTGTGTGTGTGTGTGTGTGTGTGTGTGTGTGTGTGTGTGTGAATGTGTGTGTGTGTGTGTGTGCTAAAATGGGGCGGCGGTGCCATGCGGGCTGCGCCACAGGGGCCGTAGGTGGAATTCCTTGTGCGGCCACGAAACGTGTGAGGGGTGTACCAAAATGGGGCGGCGCCGCCATGCGGGCTTCGCCAGTGGGACCTTAGGTGGAGCTCTTTGTGGGGCCACGAAGCGCGTGAATGGGGCGGCGCCGCCATGCGGGCTGCGCTGCGCCACTGGGACCGTAGGTGGAACTCCCGATGGGGCCACAACACGTGTGAGGTGTGTGCCAAAATGGAGCGGCGACGCCATGCGGGCTGCGCCACTGCGACCTTAGGAGGAGTTCCCTATGGGGCCATGAAGCGTGTGAGGGGTGTTCCAACATGGGGCGGCGCCGCCATGCGGGTCGCGCCATTGGGACTTGAGGTGGAACTCCTTATGGGGCCACGAAGCGTGTGAGGGGTGTGCCAAAATGGGGCAGCGCCGCCACGCGGGCTGCGCCAGTGGGACCTTAGATGGAGCTTTTTATGGGGCCATGAACCGTGTGAGGGGTGTGCCAAAATGGGGCGGCGGCGCCATGCGGGCTGCGCCACTGGGACCTTAGGTGGAACCACGTTATGGGGCCACGAAGCGCTGTACTGGGTGGGTGAAGCGCAGGGAGGAGGGAGGAGGGGGAGGAGGAGGAAGGAAGGAGGAGGAGGAAAACGCGGGGACCGTCTTTTCAAAACGAGGGCCCAACACCACAGGATGGTTGGGAACAAATCCACGCGACATTCAGTCCGTTTTTCACTTGCCGTTTCGGGGTTTGCATTGGCAAAAATCCGCGCAAATATCCGCTGCAACACAACTACAAGGTCGGTGCAGTGATATTGCAAGGGCCAGGCATTTTGCCGTGCTGCTACGGTGCAGCCTCTGTCACCGTCATCCCGCGCCACTCCACCGAAGGGTAGCATTCGTTACCCCGGCACCCCCGAATGAAACAAACCTTCCTTCTGTAAGGCTTCAGGAGATTGCGATGACAGCGGGCTTCGCGCGTGTTCCGAGGAGGAATGTGGTGCACGTTGGTCTCAGCAAGCGAGTGGTGCTCTTCTTGGCATGCAACATAGCGGCCAAAAGTTGCGATATTACACAGGATAGAAGCCCCAATCCGTGTATGGTTTGAAAATTAGTGATATTGATATTGAGATCGATGGTGAGATCGATCGTGGGATGATGAATGAGGACGACTGTAAGGTCGATCGTGAGACCGATAGTGAAGTCGATCCAATGAGATCGATCGTGAAATGATCGTGATATCGATTGTGGACTCGATAGTGAGATCGCTTGTAAGATCGATAATAGGATCGATCGAGGAATGAGTCATGGGATCGATGGCTAGAGCGATCGATAAGAAGATCGACCAGGAACCCAGAAACCTTGGAACCCCGCCGCCCACCGAAATCGGCCCAGAATCCCGAACCAGGAACCTGGGAACCCGGGAACCGGGAACCAGGAACTTGGGAACCCAGCCTGCCACCAAAATCGGCGGGAAATTTTCGCCAAGTCTTTCAACTTCCGCTAGGACCCTTTCAGTGTAAGCACTGATTTGGGAACGATGGTGTTCCATTAGAACCAAGAGAGGAAGGTGGCATGCAAACGATGGAAATATTGTATGTGGCCGCCGTCGTGCGCGAAATTCGCTTCGGCGCCCGAAAACACCATCATAGACATTGGATTCGTAGATGTTTCCAGGCTGCTCTTCACCCTGGATCAAGCCAGCAAGTGGCCTTTGCCTGTTTTGGGGCTCGACCCTCCATTGAGAGGTATGACACACGTAAGCGTGTGAGGGGCGCTGCTGCTAACATTGGACACGGTAGCGACCAAGTAGCTCACTCCACAGTGTCTACGAGGGGATGACATGATCTTCGTCTGGCAGAGGCCAGGGAGTGCAATGCGGAAAGGGTTGATCTCCCTTCCCCCCTCCCCATTTCCCATCCCCTTTGCCCCACTCTTCCTTCACCGCCTCCCCTCCTCTCTCTCCCTCGCTCCCTCATTTCCCCCCTCTCCTTCCTGCTTCCATCATTCCCCCGCTCTTTCCCCTACCCTGATGGGCCTTTTTTACCACCACCACCATCAGTTGGAGGGGGGAAGGAGGTGGTGGATGAGGAGGAGGACAAAGAGGAGGAGGAGGAGGAGGAGGAGGAGGAGGAGGAGGAGTAAGAGGAGGAGGAGGAGGAGGACGAGGAGGAGGAGGAGGAGGAGGAGGACCCCCCCTCCTACTTATGGTGGTGGTGGTGGTGGTGGTGGTGGTGGTGGTGGAGAACAGGCCCCTCTCTGCTCATCCCGCCCCGTGGAAGAAGAGTGCTCTCCAGCTGCGGGGGCGCCGCCGAGCCGCCGCTGCGGCGTTCTGCCGGGGTGCTGCCGGGCGTGGAGCGCTCGTCGCGTGCAGGGCCGAGGAGTGCGGCTCACGGGGCGGCTCAGGTCGGGCCTGTCCCCTCTGCAGGGGGATTTTGGCGAAACAGTGCAAAACAACAGCGAACATATTCCAATCATGCAAATTACTCCGACGGAAGGACCCCACATGAGGATCCTCTGGGCGAATCTGGAAAAAGCCCTCACCGTCGTCCTCGTGGTTTGTGAGGCGTCCTGGCTGTCTCTTCTGCGTATATTCCTTCTCGCCCTGGCGCGGGCCCTCCCCCCGCTCCCTACGTTGCCCCTGACCTCGCCCTCCTGTTTTGGCTCCAGACATTCAGAATGTGGCCCGGGAGTTGTGTTCTGGGAACACGAAGAACACGAAGTGGCCTACAGTTGGCTCCGGGCATTCAAAATGTGTCCCGGGAATGGTGTTCTGGGAGCACGAAGATCACGAAGTGGCGTACTCTTGGTCCCGGGCATTCAAAGTGTGGCCTGGGAATGGCGTTCTGGCAGCGAGAGAGCCCAAAAGTGGCGAGAGTACAGGAATTTGATGACCCGCTCGGATTAGTAACATGATCCGCGGGCCCCATAGGGAGGGGGCTCCCGCTTGAGACTTCCGCAATTCACTCACAAACGTGGCCTGGGAGTGGCGTTCTGGCAGCGCGAGAGCCCAAAAATGTGACAGTTACAGGAATTGGATGACCCGCTCGGATTAGTAACATAATCCGCGGGCCCCATAGGGAGGGGGCTCCCGCTGGAGACTTCCTCGCAATTCACTCACATATGTGGCCTGGGAGTGGCGTTCTGGCAGCGCGAGAGCCCAACAGTGGCGACAGTTACAGGAATTGGATGACCCGCTCGGATTAGTATCATGATCCGCGGGCCCCATAGGGAGGGGGCTCCCGCTTGAGACTTCCTCGCAATTCACTCACAGACGAGGCCCAGGGCGAGTGAGTGAGTGAGTGAGTGAGTGACTGACTGACTGGTGATGATGATGATCATCACACTGTCTCACGCGCGCACTCATCATCATCATCATCATCATCATCATCATCATCATCATCATCATCATCATCATCATCATCATCATCATCATATGTGAGTGCTGAGGAGTGAGTGAGTGAGTGAGTGAGTGAGTGAGTGAGTGAGTGAGTGAGTGAGTGAGTGTGTGAGGGATGATGAGTGAGTGAGTGAGTGAGGAATGAGTGATGATGATGATGGTGGGTTCCTGTTCCTGCGCGGGGTGTCCAGAGAAACTTACTCCGACGGAAGGACCCCGCTTGAGGATCCTCTGGGCGAATCTGGAAAAAGCCCTCACCGTCGTCCTCGTGGTTTGTGAGGCGTCCTGGCTGTCTCTTCTGCGTATATTTCTTTTCGCCCTGGCGCGGGGATACGTGCCAGGAGTAGCGCTCTGGGAACACGACGAACACGAAGTGGCCTACAGGTGGCTCCGGACATTCAGAATGTGGCCCGGGAGTGGTGTTCTGGGAACACGAAGAACACGAAGTGGCTTACAGTTGGCTCCGGGCATTCAAAATGTGGCCCGGGAGCTGGTGTTCTGGGAGCACGAAGAACACGAAGTGGCCTACAGTTGGCTCTGGGCATTCAAAATGTGGCCTGGGAATGGCGTTCTGGCAGCGCGAGAGCCCAAAAGTGGCGACAGTACAGGAATTGGATGACCCGCTTGGATTAGTAAAGTGACCCACGGGCCCCATAGGGAGGGGGCTCCCGCTTGAGACTTCCTCGCAATTCACTCACAGACGAGGCCCATGTGGCCTGGGAATGGCGTTCTGGCAGCGCGAGAGCCCAAAAGTGGCGACAGTTACAGGAATTGGATGACCCGCTCGGATTAGTAACATGATCCGCGGGCCCCATAGGGAGGGGGCTCCCGCTTGAGACGTCTTCGCAATTCACTCACAGACGAGGCCCATGTGGCCTGGGAATGGCGTTCTGGCAGCGCGAGAGCTCAAAAGCGGCGACAGTTACAGGAATTGGACGACCCGCTCGGATTAGTAACATGATCCGCGGGCCCCATAGGGAGGGTGTCCCGCTTGAGACTTCCTCATAATTCACTCACAGACGAGGCCCAAGGCGAGTGAGTGAGTGAATCAGTGACTGACTGGCTGACTGACTGACTGACTGACTGACTGACTGACTGACTGACTGACTGATGATGATGATGATCATCATCATCATCATCACACTCTCTCACGCGCACACTCATCATCATCATCATCATCATCATCATCATCATCATCATCATCATCATCATCATCATCATCATCATCATCATCATCATCATCATATGTGAGTGAGTGAGTGAGTGAGTGAGTGAGTGAGTGAGTGAGTGAGTGAGTGTGTGAGGGATGATGAGAGAGTGAGTGAGTGAGGAATGAGTGATGATGATGATGGTGGGTTCCTGTTCCTGCGCGGGGTGTCCAGAGAAAACCAGAACCCCACTTTGGATGTGGGAAACAAGAACCCCATTTTGGATGTGGGGAACAACATTGTTCAAACATCGTCCCTTGACTATTTGTTGACTATTTTTGGATATCCTTCCTGTGGAGGGACAGGCCCGACTTAAGGGAAGAGGGGGGGATGGCGAGGAGAGCGCTTTGCACCTTTGAAGAGCTTCGAGAGGAGGGCCTGACAAGAGGGGAGTGCCAGCCCTGCGCTGGTGATGCCCTGGGGGGAGTGTCAGGAAAGGATGTTGGATGGTGAGCGCATGCGAGGGGGGCAGCGAAATTTGGGACGGGGCCTGCAGTCAGCAGGTTCTCGATCCTGTAGGTGCTCAGGACTGCAGAATCTGAAGCTGGGCGAGGGCTGGCGTTGCTAAACGGGTCTTCCTGGAGGAGAAACAAACCCGGAATAAAACTCAGCGCGCTAAGTAGCAACCAAGCAACAGTTTCCCGGAGCTTCGTTTTAGCAGCCACGGGTTTGCCAGCTTGCGCCCGGCTTCTGACAGAAGGCGGCAGGACGGGGTCAGTCTGCTCGCCCAGGAGGGCCCCTCGTCATTTGCCCTGGGCCAGCTGGCGGACACGCTGCGCGCGGCCGTGGAGTCGGAGGCGCGCGGCGACTCCGTGGAGGACCTGCAGCGGGTCGAGGCGAAGGCGCGAGAGGCCTCCCAGCAGACGGGATGGTGTGTCGGGTGGGGAGGGGAGGAGGCGAGTGGTGCAATCATCGAAGAAGATCAAACCACAGACACATGAACTTTTGGCGCTCTGCGCGGATTTCTTGGATCCGCGCTGGGCCCCCCTCCCTGGCGCCTCCGGTGCCGCCCAGGGAGGGGGGGGGTCCAGCTCGGATCGAAGGAATCTGCGCGGAGCGCCAAAGTTCATGTGTTTGATACCAGGCTCGGAGTTCATCTGTCTACGATTTCTTTTCAGCAGCTTCGGGACTCCTGGGAGCACATATATGGGAAACCACTCCGAACGTGGCGTAGTGTTTCTGGCCCTGGGTCCGCGATGCGAAAATCTCTCGAGCGCTTGGGATGGCAAATGCCAAATTTCTGTACCTTGATCACGGATCGAGGTTATGAAATTTCGATGGTTCTTCAGTCTCCGGCAATGCTCCGCCTGCAGTTGCGCCATGCCGTGTTCCGCAAGCTTGAGCTCGCAATCGGGGACAAGCATCACTTTCCCCATAGAGCTTGTTTCGATATGGTGATGAGGCACCTTGCGTCAAGGACATGTTTGCCTCTGGAGAAAGGAGCCCTGAGAGCGGCGAGTATTGGTGCGATTTGGATTAGGTTGTACGCCATCAGTCGGGGATACCAGCATTCGGACCTGTGTCCATTGGGATGTGGATGTATAGACACACTTTTTCATCGTTTATGGAAGTGTCCTAAACTGGCTGGGCTGCGTTCTGAAGTTGTCGATCAGGAAGTGCTGGATGCAATAGATCATTTCGTGACCGACAGATTTTTGCTTTTCGCTGTCACTCGAGGAGGCGTGCCACATCCAGGAGATTATTATCCCGCCCCCCCCTGTCGGAAGGATCCTGGACCGTGAAATGGTTTGTCGAGGAGCCTCCCGACCCTTATGTTATCCAGGGCCAAATGTTTGTTGATGGGTCCTGTCGTAGGCATACCATAAAAGAGCTGAGCAGAGCCGCTTGGGCTTGCACTTCATTCGAGAATGGACTTAGACAGTGTGAAATGTGTTGTCCTGTCCACGCGTCCTTGCCTGAGACTCCGCAGTGTGCCGAATGTTCGGTGTTCACGGGTGCCACCATGGGCCTTAGGGGGCCCCTCGGACCTCTACACTGACTGTATGAATGTTCTGCAGCAATACCTTGTCCCTCTAGGTGCCCTGTCGGACCATAAGCGTGTCTATGCGGGTCACATGATCCAAGCTAGGTGCGACGATGGTGTTGAGCACATCCAGTCGGCCAGCAAAGTGAAAGCCCACTTGTCGCTGAATGAACCTGGGCTGACCGACGAGAAGCTTTTTAGACGTGTCGGAAACAAATGCAGATGAAGGGGCCGACGAGGCTTTGAACCTGCACCCTAGTGACAGTATAATGCTCGACGACATCGGTCATCAAGTAAAGCCGGTTTCGGCTTTTTGTGTTTTGGTGATGAAACTTTTGCCTTGCTTCCCCTCCCTATGTGAAGATGGGGATGTTGAGTATGTGGCACCTCCTCGGCCAGATCGAGATCCCAAAGTTATGTGTTCCTGGGTCTGGGTCGCTAAATTATGGAGATGAGCCGTGTGCTGCACGGCTACCAGAATTGAGATTGTCCAGAGCGTCATGCCTGGGCAGGGAGGCCAACCCCACCCCCGTGTCTGCCCTGGTGTAGTGGTTGGCCCAGACATGGAAAGGATCAACAACAATAACCACGCAGTCGTTTGTTTCGCTTGCTCGAACAGTTCTAACCTGTTCATCTGTGTTCACTGCACTGCGTCTTTTAGCACGTCACCATTGAAGAGCAACCTCCATTGGAAGAGGTGCGAACGTAACATGGACGCCCAAAAAACGTTTGGAGGAACGTGCTTCTCGGGAAGCATCCACACCAACCTGGAGTTCGAGTGTGGACTACCGAACGCAGCCTGGCCGCGCGGCCACCAGCGGAGGACGGAGTTGTCGAGTCAGACTCTTCCGATTGAAGCCTTCTCCCGCCGCATTGGAGCGGAAGCAGGCGGGCCCAGTTCGCTCCGACCAGTGGCCAGAGGGCTCATCTGGAGGGCTCCGCCACGGGGGCACTGGCTCATCGGCTGAGTGTCAGGCCCACACCAGGGATGGAGCTTGCCTATCGTCCTGGCGTTACTCACGCCAGGGGTAGGCTTTTCCGACTCGTCCTGGCCTTGCCTATTTCATTGTAGTGCGTTCGGGAGCACACGCGTTTGCACGAGAATCAGTCACCCCAGTTGCGGGGGGGAGGTGCGCAGCACGTATGTTGGTTAGATCCTGTGGGTTTGCACGGGGGTGGGTTCCCACCCTTACCGTTGCGACGCCTCGGGGTTTTGCGTGCGTCTTTCCTCAGACACAGCGGTGTTGACGGCTTACCGTCCTGGCGTTCTTTACACCAGGGGTCAGCTTCACACCGTTTCTGACGACATCCAGGCAGTTTTCTTTGTGCGCACGTGCGTGCGCTGTTGTACGTGGCGCGTGTATCAGGCACCCCAACTCGTGGGGCCAGGGTCAAGCCACCCGAGATACAATCATTCAACCACCTGTGCTGCAGCTGGCCACCACGCGACAGCCCTCAGCCCGACTACTCATGCCTACACCGCGTTGAAATTGAAAAACATAACGAACAACCAGATAACAACAACAAATCCCTCCGCGCCCGATCTGAACCCTCCTCTCCCACTCCCGTGCCACCAGACCCTGTGATGGTCTGCGGCCCGGGCTTCCGGGACCTGGCCTGACCCGTGGATGCACGACCGGGACGGTCGCACCGCCCCCGGAAGCCATCGACGAGCTCTGTCTGCTGGAGCGGCGTCAGCGTTAAACCGAGGATTATTGTTGCGGCCAACTTTGTTGCCAGAGTGTCACGCTGCAGGGGTCGTTCGGCCGTTCGCGCCAAGGAGCCCAGCTCCGTAAATGAAAGCGCTCTGTCGCGCAAGCACCGATCATTCTGTCGAGCCCCAGGGGCCGCCTGGGGTCTGCAAAACGGCGAAAGACCAGGCTGCGCACTCGTCCCCTGTTTCTTTCCTGCGCGGCACAACCGTCTGGACCGGCCGCCCAATGAGCGGCCCACCTCCTGGAGGAGGGCGCCCAGGGTGCCTGCAGGAATCCACATGCCGCCGGGCCTCGCAGCAACAGGGCGGCGGGCCGCCGTGGCCCGCTGCGAATTGCGCGGGGACGCCACCCCACAACACACGGCCGCCCGCGCCACTCCCAGTTGAACGCCGACCTCAGGCTGGAGTCAACTCAGAAAAAGGAGAAACCACAAACACACGATTTATTTTTCCCCCCCGCCGTGGACATCGACCGCGGTGCCAAAGACAGCACTGAGCTGCCGTGGGCAGGCCAGGTGGAGCAGCTTCTAAGAAGCATGCACCAAAAGGCTGCAGGACCCGATAGGGTTCCTGCTGCCGAAGACCTGGGGAGAGGCAGAGGGCGCGGCGAGACTCTGTGCCTCTGCGCCTCTAGCCAAGAGTTGGCTAAGGCGCAGCTGAGGGATAAAAACCATATGTGGACGCACGCTTGGCGCAAAAAGGCCACACAGACGGCGTTGCGCCCGTGGGGCAGCCCCCTCCAACGAGTTGGAGGTGGGAAGAGCGACGGTCGGGACCAGAGCGCCCCCGTGCCCAGCTCCCAAAGACTTCCCCGTGCGACGGTCGCCAGGCCCGAGTGGCCCACCTGGCCGTGCACTGGGAAGCACGAGCCCCAAAGAAAAATGGGATTGGGGGAAAGGGGCAACGGCGGCGGGGGGAACCCCAAGGCTCGGGTTCAAAGGCAAGCAGCGTAACCTGCACCCCCACGCCGCCGAGCCCACAACACCCCCTGAGCGCGAAGAAAAACAATAGACTAAAGAAAAAGGAGGTACCCAAAAGCTCGGGTACTGCGGCAAGCTGCGTAATCTGCACCCCCCTTAAAGTCCCAGGCCTCAAACAACCACATCCCTGTGCCAGGGAGCTCGACGGGCCAGCGGCCTAGCAACGGTCAAGGCTGACGACCTCCACGACGACCTCCACCCCCGTGCGAGACCACTAAGAAAGCTCACCACGCGTGCAGTGCTCCCCCCACACCAACGTGTAACATGTGCATGACAGCTTCTTGCCAAGGCGACTTGGCGCGATCCTGTATTTGATTTTGATCGCTTGGCTAGTGGCTTAGGTCTGGTCAGTCACAGTGGTGTCAGTGACTCGTGGTCCCATGGTCCCTCGTTACGCTCGTGTGTCTGGTGCCCTGCGACAGACGCAAATTCTGTTGCCAAGAGGCCCCTGTGCTCCCTCCGTTTGCCCGGGGCGGGCCTCAAACATGAACTCGGCAACTCGCGGCCCCGTGGAACTTTGAGGCCCTCGTGTGCAGCCTTCCGGGGCCCTCTTGGGGCCTTTTCTGGCGCCGTCTGACAGGCCAGTCTCGGGGGCATCTTTGCGAGGCTCAGTGGCCACCTCGAGCTATCATCTTGGGTCGTCTCGGAAAACGAAGCTCAAGAAACTATGAAATCATTGAGGGAATCCTGCCATTTGAGTCTAGGTATTTGTGTGTCCCAGGGCCCCTTTAATCTAGGTCTATCCTGGCCATCCTGGAGCCATCGGGTGTCGTCAATGATGCTGCTTCCCCTCGCGCCCCCCGTCCAGACCACTGGGAAAGGAGGTACGGAGATGGGCAACTCCCTCCGGGAGGTGAGGCATGTAGAATTTCGGAAGAGCTGATCCGCTAAACCAAATACGCTCGCAGGGCTGGAGATCATGGGGAGATCAGAGGAGAGGAGGCGAGACGATAGGAATCCGGAACGATTTTTTTCAACACCCGAATCAGATGATACGGAAAAGGGGCAATCACGCGTATGTTGGATAGGGAGAGGAGGGAAGGAGGAGGGGAAGGAGACAGGGGAGGAGGAGGAGGAGGAGGAGGAGAAGGAGGAGGTGGTGGAGTGAGGAGGAGGAGGAGGAGGAGAAGGAGGGGAAGGTGGCAGGGAAGGAGGGTAGGGGATCGCCTCCGCTGGGCGCTTCGGCCGTACTGCATGCCGTCCCCCCGCGGCCGGCGAACAGACTGGTGCCGTTTGTGTCGCTCGCGCGGCCACGGCGTTCCCGTGGGCGTCGCTCGGAGAGCACGAATCAGATGATACGGAAAAGGGGCAATCACGCGTATGTTGGATAGGGAGAGGAGGGAAGGAGGAGGGGAAGGAGACAGGGGAGGAGGAGGAGGAGGAGGAGGAGAAGGAGGAGGTGGTGGAGTGAGGAGGAGGAGGAGGAGGAGAAGGAGGGGAAGGTGGCAGGGAAGGAGGGTAGGGGATCGCCTCCGCTGGGCGCTTCGGCCGTACTGCATGCCGTCCCCCCGCGGCCGGCGAACAGACTGGTGCCGTTTGTGTCGCTCGCGCGGCCACGGCGTTCCCGTGGGCGTCGCTCGGAGAGCACGGAGACCGGCTACGCGCAGAGGGGGGTAGGGGGAGGGGGGAAGGTCTCTCAGAAGCACCCCTGCCTCTTGGAAGGCGCGGGCCTCGTCTGCAGATGTGAAGCCCGCGCCTTCTGCGAAGCGGCCTCCTTCTCTGAGGAGCCCCCCCCCCCTCCCCCCCCCCTCCCCCCCGTGTGCCCCTCTCTGCGCGCCGCCAGGGAGAGCCCCTTGGGGGCCCGGTGGCTGCCCGCCGCCCGGAGCCACCGCTCTCTCTCGGGGCCGGGGCTCAGGAGACGGGGGTCAATGCAAGCGGGGGTCTGTCCTCCTCCTCCCTCCTCCTCCTCCTCCTCCTCCTCCTCCTCCTCCTCCTCCTCCTCCTCCTCCCCCCCCTCCTTCCCCTCCCCCTCCTCCTCCTCCTCCTCCTCCTCCTCCTCTGAGCGCCCGATCTTGCAGGATCCTGCAGGACCAGGGTCGCAGTGACCCGGGTCTGGGTGCAGGATCCTGCAGGAGTTTGCAGGATCCTGCAAGGCCCGACTGGCCCGGGTCTGGATTGACCCGGGTCAGGAGATCCCCGACGGGGGCCGTGCCTCCTCGCACGTGCGCCCTCGCCTCCACTCCTCGGCTGGGGGAGGCCCGGAGCTGCCCGCTCTGCCCATGGTACGTGCTGGGTCACTGCTGTGTAGTTCCCAGTCCGATGCGTCCCTTGGCTGCCCCGACCGCGTCTTTCTAGGCTTACGTCCCTCTACAGGAGGAATGTTCAACAATAGTCAAACATAGTCGGGGGACGATTTTAATGTAATTTTTGGACTATGCTTCAGCATTGTTGTTTATTTTGTATGTTTCGTCCCCAGTCCGATGCGTCCCTCGTCAGAGGAGGAGAAGGTTATTACTGTTACCGCTACCCTTCGCCCGTTTTCCCTTTGATCGGTCTCCAGAGAGGCCCTCGTCGCTACCGCTGGCTTCACCTCGACATTCTGGTCAGAACGCACCCCGGGAGAGGTCTGGCGGGTAGCGGTATTGGTTATTTTGGGTTTCCCAAGTCCGATGTTTCCCTCGGCTGCCCAGACCGCGTCTCTCTATGCCTCCTAGGTGGGATCCGAGTGGAAAGGGTCGGAGGATCGCGGCGCATCGCCGATGCATCGGCGATGCATCGGCGATTTGGATTGATGTGGGGCCCAGCTTTCTCCACGCCGACGTCGCGGCGATGCATTGCCGATGTATCGGCGACGCGGCGAGATCCTCCGACCCCATCTATTAGGACCCGATCTATGAGGCCTCTAGTCTTGGACTCAGGCCGCTGCTGATAACAAGAGTGTGATGCTCAGGCCGCCGCCGCGTCTCTCGCGAGCGCGGTTGCCGCTGGAGGGAGCTCATAGTACCGAGCGCGGAGTGCCGGCCCGGGTCGCTGCCCGCACGGTTGCCTCGCTTCTTCTCTGTCTTCCCCCCATCGGCCTCCCCGTCCTCCCTCCCCCTCCCCCTCCCCCCCCCGTATTTTCTGGCATGCTGGTCTTCCAGATGTGGCTGACTCGGTTTCTGCTCGCGCACGGGTCCTTGGCGGGTCGGCGGGCGGACAGCGCGGCGGGCCGCGGTTGAGTGGTGGATGGCTCGCGGTGAGGGTCGCGGGGCGGGTCGCGGGGACTTTGCGGGGGCGTGTCGCGGGTGGGTCGCGGGGCGGGGCTGGCAACAATAAGAGCACGACTCCCTTGCGGAACCGCACTCCAGCTACGCACCAAAGGACAGTGTTGGACCTTTGGGCTGCTCCACTATGTTGTCATTCAGCTGCCCAGCTGCCCGCGCGCCCCCCCTCCCACTGCGCCTGTTCAACAGCGTAGCAGGAATGAGCTTGAATTCGTAACGGTTCGGGTATCCCCACCAGGCCATCAAGGAACGATGCCTGGGGGAGCTGCCTTAATCGGGGAAGCGTGGTATCGTTTGGAGAGCTCGGGGAGCCTCCGTGGGCCGGAGGTTTCTTGAATGCCTCTCGGAGTCTCTTGGAGGCTTCTTGGGATGTCTTCACGGTCTCCTTATGGCTCTTGAGGGCCTCTTTGGGCGCCTTGGGGGCTCTCTTGGAGGCCTCTTGGGACGTCTCGGGCCTCTTAGCGGTCTTCAGAGCCACTTGGGGCGTCTTTGGTACCTCTTCGGAACCTCTTGGGGCCTGCTAGGGGGGGCCTCTTGCGGGGCTCTTGGGGCCATTTGTGCGCCCCTCGGGGGTTGCCAGCGCACTGTTGCAGGCTACTAATGGCTTGTTTCCTCCGCCCCTCTCACGCTCCTCCTTTCCCTCTGTAGCATTCGACCCAGACTGGATTGACCGTATGTCCACCTTGCCTGCGTCGAACATGTGTTTCGCGGTATCAGCTTTCCTTCTCCTTCGGCCCAGCGCGGGGGGTTTGGAATTTGTTACGGGGTGCGTTCAGGTTGGAGTTGGCCAGGGCTCTGCGGTGGCCCAGCATCGGCTCGGGCCAGCAGGAGGGGGGGGTGCGGCGAGGTTTGAGGTGCTGGTTTCAAGGCTGGTTTTTGCCGCTCTCCGTCTCCGGGGGCAGTGCTCAGCTCAGAGCCTCTGGACCGCCTCCAAGGGTCAGCGCTCATCGCGGGGGGTTGAAGGGGCCCTGGGACACACATGAATACACACGAATCACAGGATTCCCCATGTTTTCCAATGTTTTCTGGGTTTTTGTATCCCCCCCCACTTCCCACATTTTCATTTATTTTCCCATATTTTCATATATGTTCCTATATTTTCCGGGGGATCGACGATGAAGTGTGCCTGTGTGAGTTTTCCCCTCCCGAGGGGTAGGGGGTCGGAAGGAGCACTCGGGCGCAGTGGCACGGCGGGGGGCGCACCCGACAGCTCGGGGTGCGTGCTCGCGGGCCTGGCATGTCTGTTTCGTTTCTCGGTCTCGCCGTTCCCTGCGGTCGTGTCTGGAATTACAGTCAACGCGCCCAGTAAGGACGCGCGCCTTCATCTAGGATACCCTTGTGTCCTTGCCTCTGAGGCTCGTCCTCGCCATTATCACTGGTCGCCCGCCGCCCTAAATTATCCCAGTGCGACCCTACCTAGGAGTTGGAGCCCCTAGGACAGCAGCATTAGTAGTGACAGTAAAGCTAAGCTAAAGCTAAGCTGAAGCTAAGCTAAAGCTAAGCTAAAGCTAAGCTACAGCTAAGCTAACGCTAAAGCTAAGCTAAAGCTAAGCTAACGTTAAGCTGCAACTAAGCTAAAGCTAAGCTAACTCTAAACTAAAGCTAAGCTACAGCTAAGCTACAGCTAAGCTAAATACACATAAGCTGAAACTAAGCTAACACTAATGTAACACTAAGCTAACGCTAAGCTAAAGCTAAGCTAACGCTAAGCGAACGCTAAGCTAACTATACACTACAGCTAAACTAAAGCTAAACTAAAGCTAAGCTACATCTAAGCTAAATCTAGCTACAACTACAGCTAAGTTAAAGCTAAATTGACACCAATCTAAAGCTAAACTAACGCTATGCTGAAGCTAAGCCAACGCTAAGCTAAAGCTAAAGCTAAGCTAACGCTAAAGCTAACACTAAAGCTACAGCTAAAGCTAAAGCTCCCAGGGGACTGGGGTAACCGCTCCCAGGGGACTGGGGGAACCGCCCGGGGCGGGTTGCACTGCCCGGCCCCTTTAAGCAAAGACAGTAAGAACCCTTCTAGGCAGAGCCTAGGTAGGGAAACACCCAACTTCGGCCTCCAAGGGTCTTGCGTCCTTATCACCCGTCCTCAATATACGTTTTGACTGTAAGTCGGGCCTGTCCCTCTACAGGAGGGATATCCAAGAATAGTCAGGCAATAGCCTGGGGACTATTAGTTGACTATTGTTTGGCACCTCTTTTGAATATGTTTTGACGTTTTTTCTTCCAAAATCCCCCTGTAGGGGGACAGGCCCGACCTAAGTCTAGAGTGAGCGTTGGCCGATTTTCCCGATTTCCCCTGTCACAGTGTAGGCTGCGTGTTTGCTGTTCATTTTCTCATTTCCGCGAGGTCGTGACCACCATGAGCGGCTTCTCTGGTTTCGGCACTGTGGAGCAGGCTCCTTGGCAGTAGAACATGTCTAGAAGAGTCGATGATGTGCAGAGCCAGTGCTGGACCTCCCTGGAATAGCTTTTTCCATCCATCGGTGGCGAACTCCGAACCCTACTCTCGCCGATCAACAGTTCAGGCAACTCGATTGGCGGCGGAGGTAGGGTCCGTACAGTCGGACCGAAGTATAAGATCTGGGTCGGTTCGGGGAGGGTACCCTAATCTTCTTCGTGCTTGTTGGATGCTCTTGTGCATCCTTGGAAGGGTACCCTTGGATGTTCTGTTTGCTGTGGTCGACGGAGGGTCTCATGTTCTTGAAGGATGTTTTTCTGGTCTAGGTCCGACTGTCTGCCGCCACCTGAGTGCTCGACCTCCCTGGTATGCTCATGCTGTTCTTTTCCTTGCCGACTGCCTCCGATATTGGGTGGGGGGTGGGTGAGGATGAGGATGAGGATCTGATGCGGTGGTTTCCACGGCCTGAATTAAGCTTGATTGCTTCTGCTCCTGCCTGAGTTGTCCCCTCGATGTTTCGGCCCTCGCTCTCCCGCTCGGTCGTTGTCCCTCCGCCGTGTGGTCCCCTTGGCCCTCGCTCTCGTTCGTTTTCGGGGCACGCTCGCTCGGGCCCCGCGGTCGTCGCCACGAGTGTCAGGGAGCTGGCGCTTGACTCCAGCTCGCGGCCGAGCCAAAGCCACGCCCCGACGGAGAGCCCGCACGCGGCCTGCTCCGTGGGAAGGCTGCGGACGTCTGCGATGCCGGTCGAGCAGAGGGCGCGCACAGGAGATCCTCCTGGGTGGCTGGGCGGGGAGGCAGGCGCACGGAGGGGTCCCTGGGAGGAGCCGTCGCGGCGGGGGCACCCATCGGTTGGGTCGCGCAGTCAACCCGGTTCGAGCACCAGGTAGCCTCACTGCGTATGATGGCGTCGCGTAGGCGCATTGGGGAGGCGTGGGTGCACGCAGGACCAACAGGAGACCACACGTACGTTTTTCGGCAGCACGTTGGGCACTCCACGCCTTCTCCGCTTCCGCTAAAATCTTGCCGCCCTTATCATACGAAGGTGTTACAGTCATCAAGCCTGCATGGAGCTTTCCACACTAGCACCAGATCATGGCATGTGCGTGGTCAGCGCATTTGACGCTTCAGGAGAGAAGCACCCTTCTTCGGCCCGCTTTCGTCTATTATCGTGGGTCTATGTTTTTGCTTGTTCGTTGCTGCAGGATTTGGCATCTTGACCCACGGGTCAGACTTAGATACCACCAGTTTCGACAGGAGCTGGTAGGCAATACCAGACAAGTAGTAATGGCGATGTGGCCTCTCTTCTGAGTTTACTCAAGTTTACTCAGGACGCCCTTCTTGGATGGCCTCTCGCCTTTGTCACTAGCAGCAGCTGTGTGCGGAAGAGAATGCAGCGTGTATGACATGATCCTCCCCGCAGCGTCATGATAACGATTGGAAGCGAATGCTCCAGCAGATGGTCATTGCTCACATAAAAGTTCCCATGCCATCACACTTTGCTTGAAGCAGCAGCATCTCGTAAAGACTTCGTCTTCGTTGCTGTGGGGACCAACTGACTGATAGGATAGTCGAGTACGCAACTGACCTCATACAGTTAACAACAGGCGAGGTGGATGCTGTACAGGTAGCCCGGGCCCAGACACGATCAGTTGGCGTACATTCTCCATGCGTGAGGCCTATCGGGAGCTTCTTCGGAGCTTCTTCTGGCCCTCTTGGGGGCTTCCTTGTGCGCGATTGTGCCGCCGAGCTCTTCCGAAGAGGCTCGGCTGAGCAATTTTTGTGACGTCCCGGCGGATCTTGGGGTTGCGCGGTTCTCGAGCCATCTTGGGCTTGTATTCGGGATCTCGCGAGGCTTCCTTGGGCCGTCAGTCGGGCGTCTTCAGGCCCTCTGAAGGTTGTCCGAGGCGATGCTAAGCCTGGTGTGTGTGGTGGCTGTCGACCCAACTTGCCACCGTGTCTTGGTCGTGGACACGATGCCCATCAGAGGTTTCCTGGGACCTCCTGGCAGGCCTCTTGGGGGCGTCTTGGAAGCCTCTCCGGGACTTCTTGGGGGGGGGGCTCGTGGAAGTGTGTTGGCGCCTCGTGCGTGGCTCTCGGGGGCACCCTGAGGGTGTTTTGGGCGGCCTGTCGGGCCACCTCGGAGGCGTCGGGGTCCGTCTCGGGGTGATTGGTCCGGGGGGCATCTTGGACCGCCACTGGCACTATTGCTATTCAGTCCGAACGCCGAGTGTGCTAGCATCATAGAACGCATACATGCGCCTGAGAGGTCTGGGATGTGCCTAAGAGGTCTCCACGCCGGACCCTGAGGCGAGTTTGGCCGTGTTGGAAGTCTGGATTCCCCGCCAGGCTCCGAGGCCTCCAGAAGGTCGCGCGACCCGCTCCGAGAGTCTCCTGGAGCTCACAGGGTGATCTCGGGCTCTGGGTCTATTAAATAACAATGCCCAATGCAGACATCATCGTCATCCTCCTCCTCTTCCTCCTCATCATCATCAGCACCATCATCTTTGTGGCTATTACCATCACTATCGGCATCATCATCAGCATGAGCATCAGCATCAGCAACATCACCAACATCATCATCAGCATCAGCATCATCATCAGCATCTTCAGCATCATCATTAGCATCGTCATCAGCATCACCAGCAGCATCACCAGCAGCATCATCAGCATCAGCATCATTTCCAGCAGCATCTTCATCAGCATCATCAGTACATGAGCAGCATCAGCATCAGCATCAGCATCAGCATTAGCATACTCATCATCATCATCATCATCATCATCGTCATCATCGTCATTATCATCATCATCATCATCAGCATCATCATCCTCATCATCATCATGATCAGCAGCATCATTATCATCATCAGCATCATCATCCTCATCCTCATCCTCATCATCAACACCATCATCATCATCATCATCAGCATCATCATCATCATCATTACCATCAACATTACCATCATCAACAACATCATCCTCATCATCACCATCACCATCACCATCACCATCATCATCATCATCATCATCATCATCATCATCATCATCAGCATCATCATCATCATTATCATCATAGCGCTGCCGTGTTGCTCAGGTCCTTCTGGCAGCGCGGCGCCCGTTCCATCTGCACAGTGCAGGTGGCACACACTCCGCAGGCCATTGCGCATGATGAAGTCCTAGCCTCGAGGGCAGGAGATGAACTGGCCGCTCACGCCGCAGACGGTCGCAGGAGGATGGAGGCTACGATGTATACAATACAACCCTCAAGCTCTGCCACTGCGCCGCAACCTCTCGGACGTGCTGGCCGAGTTCTCGTCTGCACATGTGGTTTCGTTGACGGGTATATGTCAGAATGTGAAGCACCTTTCATATGACCAATCTCTTTCTTTTGCAGGGAGACGTGCGAATACATGGCAGGTTTGGCAGTGGCCTGCGGAGACCATCGAAGCTACGAGCCGACGACGTACACGCAAGATGGGCACGAACACTTCCGCAGGCTGTATGATTGCTGTGGATAGAACAGTCTTCCCCACCCATCGTCGAATTCGGGCCTGGGAGACCCCCAGGATTCACAAGGACGTGGCGGTGCTGTACGGTACAAATGGGCGATGCAGTGTGACCATTGTTTTCTGAGTATATACGTCATGCTTGAGCCTCGTGGTGAGCAGGGCGACTATGGAGACGCAAACGGCTCATCTGGATTTCAAAAGTTTTGGGCTCGTTGCCGACCCCTTGTGCACCGATCTTACTGTGCGACGGCAACTTTCACTGTGGGTATGCACGTATTGGATCCATCTTACAGAATATGCCTGAGGGAGATATTGTGAGGCGTGCTTGCCCTGAGGCCGAAACTGTGCCAGGTACGCCTTGGAGGCTTTTGTTAAACCAACACCATTTGGCGTTGGTGAATACACCTGTTTACGAGGGAGCGGGCCCCACCTTCTCCGGGTCGGGCAATTCTAAGACGCGGGGTGACTACATTGCGATTCCTCAGGATGCTATGAATAGATTTGAACAAATTAAGGTGTGGCATAGAATTGGTTTCAAACTTCAGCTGTGTAAATCGACATGCGCAGCATCCACACACGTTGATCATTATCCAGTGGTTATGGGCTTTCGTTGTGCCGGCTGGCACCAGGAGGAGGAGCCGAACTCTATTCGCTGGAATCGGGGCCGGATCATGTCGGACTGGCTTCGTGATGAAGATAGTCGTATACTTTTCGTGAATGAGGTGGAACAATGGGCCAGTTCCGATGAGGTGTGCAATGAGGTGAGGACTCACTGTAGGAAAGGTTCTGTCGACGCAACTTGGCATTTGCTGAATCAGGGCCTTTGCGATCTCGCCGTTGCTCGCTATGTAAACACTGCGCAAGCTCACTGCCCTTTTCCACTGGCAGATGTTACGCAGACCGTACACCAGAGGTACGAAGCTTTGCGATCAGAAATGTGGCGGCGACGGCGTACTCCTGCCGAAGACCCATCATCGAGTGTGCAGCTGAATGGGGGAATGTGTGGAGGTTCTGAAACGGCTCCGTAAACTTCGTAGACGAGACTTCCGACGTGCACAGGACGGGTGAGCGGCCGAACTAGAGACGGCAGGGGGTCAACATCACTGGCGGGACGCGTGGAGACTCAACAGAAACATTACAGGCACGCAGCTTGGCCCCAAGAAGCGGCAGTTTCTTTTTTCGTCGGCGCAACCTCCCACTGGCCAAGAATGGATTAACTGCATGGGTCTGCCTGGGACAGAAGGCGGCATGCGCGCGTCTCTGGTGCTCCGAGGACCACGGGGGCGCAGTCGCTCTCAGCTTCCAGACGTTGCTACTTTAATCCGTGATGTGCCGCATGCTCCTCAGGAGCGTCAGCGAGCTCTCGCAGCTCTTGAGTCCAAGTACGTCGAGGACCCATCTTCAGGATCCGGTTTGCCTTCGGGATCTGAGTCACGTCCAGGAGTCGCATTGCTCTCAGAACCTGAATTACATAGGGGGCTCTCAATTACC